GAGCAGCCCGCAGCTTGGACTTGCACGCGTCGCGGTGCCGCTCCAAGTGTGCCTTCTGCTCCTTGCCGAACTCAGTGCTGGGCTCCTTGGGCAGCGCCTTGAGCAAGGACTCTGCCTGGGCCAGCTCCTCCTTCCATTTGGCGTTCTCACTTGCGAGCTGGTCTCCCGCATCGACCTGCATGGCATCCGACGCATCCGGGGCCACTGGGGTCTGCTGCTTGGCTGCCAACTGACGTTGTAGGTCGGCCAGCTTTTTCTCGAGCATCTTCTCACGGTACGAAGGGCTGGGCGGCTTCTTGGCGCTGGTACTCGGGGCCTCCGACAACTGGCGGACCGAGTGGAAGGCCGTGTCCTTGCTGCAGCCGCACTGGGTACTAGTAGTAGTAGTAGTAGTAGTAGTAGTAGTAGTAGGAGTAGTAGTAGTAGGAGTAGTAGTAGTAGTAGTAGTAGTAGTAGTAGTAGTAGTAGTAGTAGTAGTAGTAGTAGTAGTAGTAGTAGTAGTAGTAGTAGTAGTAGTAGTAGTAGTAGTAGTAGTAGTAGTAGTAGTAGTAGTAGTAGTAGTAGTAGTAGTAGTAGTAGTAGTAGTAGTAGTAGTAGTAGTAGTAGTAGTAGTAGTAGTAGTAGTAGTAGTAGTAGTAGTAGGTAGTAGTAGTAGTAGTAGTAGTAGTAGCACAGCAGCAGCAGCAGCAGAGGGAGGAGGAGGGGAGGAGGAGGAGGAGGACCGGTCTCCGTCCAAGGCCTCACGGCGCTTGGCGGAACGGACCCCCCCCCAGGTCACCTTAGACTTCGTGCGCCGCGCCCTCCTCCCCTCCTCCCCTCCTCCTCCTCCCTCCCTCCTCCTCTCCTCCCTCCCTCCTCCTCCTCTCCTCCCTCCTCCTCTCTCCTCCTCCTCCTCCTCCTCCTCCTCCCTCCTCCCTCCTCCTCTCCCTCCTCCCTCCCTCCCTCCTCCTCCCCGGTGCGCCGCGCGCGCGGTCCACCTGCGCGCCCCCTCGCCTGGCGCCGCCCTCGTGGGGGGGGGGGCGCCTCGCCAGCCCGAGCCGCGAGAAGCGCGGCGCTCTTCGCGCCCCGGGGGGGGGACTTCAAGGGGCCCCAGGACACACACACACATATATATATATATATATATGTATGTATATATATATATATATAAAAATACACATAAATACACACAAATAAAAGGATCCCCCATGTTTTTCCATGTATTGGTTGGCTTCTGTCTTCCCCCCCGCTTCCCCTATTCTCCCACATTTTCTGGGACATCGACGATTGATTGTGCCTCCGTGTTTTTCCCCATCCTGATCCTCGCGCCCCCGGGGGGGGGGGGGGGATGGGGCTCCCCGGGCGGCGCGATCCGCCCCTCGGAGCGGCGGAGCTCCGACGCCACGAGTGCGAACCTCTCCCAGCCCACGGCACCTGCAGTGCGCCCGTATGGGAAGGATGCGCGATGAGGATTCGGGTCGGGCGAAAGGGGGGGATAGCAAAGGGGGGGTTTGAGAATCAGCTCACGCTGATTTTCCCGGCGCCTCCAGGCGCCGGGAGCGGCCATGTATCGAGGAATGGGCCCCTCGGTGAGGCCGAAGCCAGCTGCATGCAGCAAATTTCGTAACCCCCCCTTTCCCAATCCCCCCCTTTCGCCCGACCCGAAGGATGCAGGGGCCCTGGGCGCCCGCTTCGAAGCCTTTCGAGCGGGGCGCGGCCAGCGAAAGTGGCAAGGGATGGACCGAGGAGGCGAGGATGCAAGGGTCACCCTTGGGAGGGCCGCCCATCCCTCCTGTGCGGGTTGACTGTACTACCGGAAGCTTGGAGAGGGGCACCGAGACCAACATCAGGGGCTGCCTTTTCGGGCGGACGACGATCCTGGATCCTGGTGTTGGCGGTAATCTTTCGGCCACCCAGAAAGCCCGAATCTCACCAACACCACCCAGATCGGGGCCATCCTCCCTCGGTGGAAGCACGCCGCCGATACAGTGCGGGCGCGGCCGCAGGGAACCCTCGCAAGAAACCGCCCACCCCTGAAAACCTGCGCGCGAGTTGCAGCTGAGGAGAGTCCCGGAGCACCCTGAACGCGGCAGCTTCTTCAACGGCTGCAGGAAGCCACTGTGCAGCGCGCGGAGCGAAGAAACCCAGGATAGCCCGACAAAACCCATTCGGTGTCTTGATGCGCGACCCCACTGTATTGGCGTTGGTGTCAACCTCTGGGCCTCCGAATCTGGCCCCCTGAACTCCTGCGGGCGCCTGCCCCAAACTGAAGGGACCCTGGGACACACAAGTAAATACACACACAAATAACACGATCCCCAACATTTTCCTATATTCTCTGGACTTTCGTCCTCCCCCCCAATCTCCACATTTTTTCCATATTTTCCTGGGGATCGACGATTCACTGTGCCTGTGTGCTTTTTCCCCTCCTGACAAACAGCTGCACTGGCGCTCTGGTACGATTCAGGATCGCCAAGACGCAACAGTCAGGTTGATCCGTGGCGTTGGAATCTGGCAGCATCAGGGTCATCAAACGGTTGTTTTCCAACGAAGCCGTTCCCTCAGTGGAGATGAACCCTTTCAGGGGCATATGAAGAGGGAGCTTGGGGGAGGGTTTATCCCAACATCGTTGATGACTCTTGGGTTTGCACCGGTCCTCCTCCTCCTCCTCCTCCTCCTCCTCCTCCTCCTCCTGGCACGTACCCAACCTCCTCCTCCTCCTCCTCCTCCTCCTCCTCCTCCTCCTCCTCCTCCTCCCCCTCCTCGTGGCTGCAACAGCACCTGGCCCCGTGGGGCCGTGGCCAAGGCCGCCGGCCCGCGGGGCCCGGCCCCGCGCGCGGGCTCTCTCTTCGGGGCCCTGCTCTCGCGGCGCGATCTGGGCCGCGGGCTCTCCGGGCCCTCTGCGCGCGGAGCTCTTTGTATCGGCGGCGGCGGCGGCGGCGGCGGGGGAGGAGGAGGAGGAGGCGGAGGAGGAGGAGGAGGAGGAGGAGGAGGAGGAGGAGGAGGAGGAGGAGGAGGAGGAGGAGGAGGAGGAGGAGGAGGAGGAGGAGGAGGAGGAGGCGGCGGAGGAGGAGGAGGAGGAGGAGGAGGAGGCGGAGGAGGAGGAGGGGGGAGGAGGAGGAGGAGGAGGAGGGGGAGGAGGAGGAGGGCTCTATTCTCTGGAAGGGTGGGCGCGGCGCCGAGGCGAGAGCGGCATCTGGCCCTGCAGCGCGGGCGGGGCGCCCAGTCCACCCTTCTGCTGTGCATGCATCGGCGGTGGACAAACCTCCCTTTCGTAAACCTCCCTTCAATGAAGACGGCCTGGGACCGAAACCGACGGACCCGGACCCGCAAAAGTGACGGCCGCGACGCCCCCTCGCGAACCGAGAACGGCCGATTCGCTAATCGACGTGTCAGGGTAGGAGGTCTGTCAACCCCCGACCCTATCCGCGGGCTCCCGTGGCTTCCCGTGCGTGCGCGCTGCAAGACTCGAGCTAGGCCATGTTTTCCGTTTTCGTTGCCTCGTGCCGTCTTCGTTCCGCCCCCGCTGCTAGACGATATCGAAACGAGAACGGTCCACGACATCGCCGAAACGGCACACTGTTGTGTGACCTCCCGTGCGCTGCTGCGTGGACTCCCGTGGGTGGACTCGACTCCCGTGCGCGGGCTCACGTGGCTTCCGATGCGTGCACAGTGTTACGTGGACTCCAGTGCGTTCCTGCGTGGACTCATGATTATGAGACTCCTGCTCCTGCTCCTTCTGCTACTCCTGCTGCCACTTTTGGTGCAGCGGTGCCAGAGACATGATGCTGCACACGGCTTCCACAATTCACTACCTGGGGCCTGTGCGCTGGCGTCCTTCTGAAATCTCTTTGGCGCACAATCCAACCATCAGAAATATGTCACACATCGGCCTTCCCAAGGTTTCCTGAAGCCTTTTCAGCCTCCCAGCGAGGCTGCTCCAAAGTCTCCCGCAATGCGATGGAAGCGAAACGTGCCAAGTGATAGAAATCAACACGAGTTCCACCGAGTTTCACCCATGGGACGCTGGAGGCGGAGGAACGGCTGACCACGGCTGCTGCATTTGTCCCTACCTAGCCTCTGCCTAGAAGGGTTCTTCTTACTTTGTTTGCTTAAAGGGCCGGGCAGTGGGGCACGCCCCGGGCGGTTCCCCCGGCATCCGCCCCGCGGTTCCCCCAGTGACGTTCCCTTAGCTTCACGTTGCTTATCTCATCTTAGCTTAGCTTATCATAGCATAGCCCAGCATAGCATAGCATAGCGCAGCATCGCATAGCATAGCATAGCATAGCGCAGCACAGCACAGCACAGCGCAGCATAGCATAGCATAGCTTAGCATAGCGCAGCATGACACAGCATAGCATAGCTTAGCATAGCGTAGCATAGCATAGCACAGCACAGCATAGCATAGTATAGCATAGCGCAGCATAGCATTGCATAGCATGGCATAGCAACTAATGCTGCTTTCCTAGGGGCTCCAATTTCTAGGTAGGGTCGCACTGGGGTAATCTTCAAGTCTTGCTGCCAACCCAACACAATCGCAATGAAAGAAGCGCGTCGAAGAACGACAAATCCTGAAATTACCGTGCGCATCAAGCTATCCAGAGGTCGCAGCTTGCGAGGAACGGCACGTGCGCCTATTTTGCTCGGATCCTTGTGCGCCGCGGGAAGACAAGCAGCGCGTTCTCTGTGCTCTGTCGTGCTGCCACCCACGTCGATGCCTCGAGCGAAGAATGGCGAATCGCCTGCGGCGCTCTCTCCTGGTCGGCCGGTCTTTCGTGCAAGAGGTTGTGCGCGTGTGTGGCGGCATGCCCGGGCAATGCCCCCGCTCGAACTTCATCGCTGGCTGTGACCATCTACTAGCGTGTCGGAGAGAAGTGAGTGCGTGAGTGTGAGGCGGCGCACCACACACCCGAAGCAAGGTGGGCGACACGCTTGTCCTGCCGCCGCCAACACCATGCACCATTGACTCTCCAGTCCTGGGCCGTGTTCAGGGCTTGCCTGTTTCAAATTCGCTGCATTCCTCAACACGAGTCAAGTGCCTGCTTCACAACGGACGCTGTCCCGCCAACAATGAACGCTCCAGCTATGACACAGAGTAGGACTGCCTCGCCCCTCAGGTGCAGGTCCGTGGCGGATCCTTCTTCTGTATCTGACGGCTTCTCCTTCTGTGGATTCTGCTTCTCGTAACTTCTCCTATGTTTCAGGCTTACCAGATGAAGGTCATTGTGGTCGAATGTTGCGAGTATCACCGTCTTCTGTATATAGCCATAGGCAGTGGATTTCCAAATCTTTTGCGCACACGCGTTGAAAAATAAGATTATCTGATTCCTCTCGCCTGGGTCGATCTCGGCGTTTCCTCCACTCGCGTGTGTGTTCTTATCGAAGATTGCGATCTGTTGCTGTGCCATCCTTATGGAGGATATATCGGTCAGAGAGATCATTTGGTTTGCGAAAGCGGCCAACTTCAGCCAATGGCAGAGCACGAAACCGTCATCTTGCTGCAAACCGCTGGACACACGGACCACCTTGACTGCGAGAGCGACCACACCGATGCTCCCGAATACCGCAAAGAGGACCGGATACATCAGTGTGCAACACGTGGTCAAATGCCTGTTTCGAACATACGACTTAACCCACCGCCTGTATCGGAAGAAGTGATCAACAGTCAAGAACCTCAGGCACACAAGTGCTGACCACCCAGCACAGTCTTGAGCTGCGGGTCCCCAAATGCGTGGACAACAGCAAGTGACACCAACATACGCGCATAAACGAAGTAAGTATATGGCGAAAACACACGATTCAAAATTATTTACGTACACGACGTACACGCTGAGCCTGGCCCAGCCGAACATTTCCTCTGTCTGGCTCGTCTCTTTCCTGCGCACCAGCATCATATATACATTCAAACAGACCCGTAGGAAGAGGAGGACGAGTGTCACGAACTTCAGCTTGTCCCACAGCTTCTTCTCATCACCAACCACGTACTTTAACTTCTCTGCACCTGCTGTGGCACCGTCCTTGCTTGGGATCAGGCTCTCGTCCATGCGGCTCCAGGGGTCTGCACCCGTGCTGGGCCTCAGGGGCCCCGGTGGATCAGGGCCGACAGACGAGGCCCACCGAGGTCTGCCTGCTGCAAGGTTTCGAGCCACGCGGCTTGAGCAGAAGCTTCAGGCAGAGGCCTGAGCCAAAGGGCAAGGATTATTTACAGCAGCTTCTTGGGCTGGAGGGAGTCGGCGGTGGAGTCTCCTGACTGTTCTGCCGCCGACGCACCTGCGTCCTGTGGGTTCTGCACATCAGACATGTGCCAATTGCGCTCGTGCCAATGCCGAGCCTTGCCTCCAACTTTCTCGATTGCTCTATCACTGAAGAAAAACAGGAGGGCAATTCCGAATGGACCCGACCGGCGGGCAGAAGCGGACCGACAGGCAGAAGCAGGGACTACAGAAGAATCCCGGAAAAGGGGGACGGGAAACCCTGGGCCTTTGGTCCGGCAGCCGTTTCACCTGAGACTTTCCTTAGGTCGGGCAAAACAAATACATCCAAATAGCCCAAAATAGTAGAACAAGCGTCTTTTTTAACACTTGTTAATATCCCCCCTGTAGAGGGACATGCCCGACTCAAGACTTCTTCACGAATTATTCAGGCATCGTGCTTTCGCCTTGATGCGGGCTATTTTTTTGGTCAAGACGGCCACGATCCCTGACAAGACATACGCTGAGGTGCACGTGGCCGTGCCATCGCTCCCGTCCCGGCTGCCCTCGCCCCCCCGCCTCTCCACCCTGGCTGTCATCAGGGTGCTTTGCTGGGCTGCTCCATCCCCCATCGCTGTTGCCTCTGTCAGCCCTAGACTGTTTTTGATCCGCGGGTCGAGAGCGAGCCTCTTCCGGTCGAAGCTGAGCGGGCCGCGCACAGCTTTCATTGACAGAGGGGGAAGGCAGAAGGAGGGGCCTCACGACGAGGCCAAGAGAGGGCAGAGCCCTGGAATCGGGCTGTGCCGAAGGCGACGTCAGCTTTAGACACAGGAGGACAGAGTGGCAGAGCACACACACAACTCTCGAGGGTCCGCGCGGAGATTTCTTGGATCGGCGCTGGACGATCCCCCCCCCTCGCTGGCGCGCGGAGCGGAGCGCGCCAGGGGAGGCGCCGCCAGGGCGCCCGCCACGGGGGGCGGCAGCGCAGACCCAAGAGGTCCACGCGGAGCGTCGAGTGCTGCCGTTTACACGCAGATGCCTCTTCTGCGATCTACCGTCAGAACGTGTATGGAGGACGGGCGGTTAAGGACGCGAGACCCTTGGAGGCCGAAGCTGGATTTTGGGGGCGGGGGGCGGCCAGCGAAAACGGCGAAGGACGGGCCGCAAAGGCAAGGAGTCAAGGGTACCCTGTAGAGGAAGACACGCGTCTTTACTGGGCGCTTGGACTGTATCGCTGTTGCCCTGGACCGCCGCAGGAAGAAGGGAAGGACCGGGGGACGAGGGGCCGGCGCCTGGCGCACTCGCCGGCCTCCGTCACCGCCTTCTGCAGGTTCCTGGAGAGGAAGGAGACCTGCGGGGGCGACGGCAGCAGCAGCAGCGGGTGGCGGCGGTGGGGGATGCGATGGCTCCCAGGCGTGGCGGCGGCGGCGAGCCAGGAGGGAAGTCAGAAGCGGCGGGCCTTCCCAGAAGGCTTGGAAGGCCTCCGACCTTCGGAGACGTTTTCCCTGAGCCGTCCCCGAAGGCGCAGAAGTCCTGTCAGAAGGCCTTCTGAGAAGGCCGTCTCCCTTCGACTTCTCCCCTGACCTCGCCGCCGCATGCGGGGCACCGATGTTAGCAGGCGGCAGTCCGTGATGTCGCCGCCGACGTGTGGGAGGGGCGAGGAAGTCTCTCGTTGGCTCTCGGCGGCCTCCCAGCCTTGGGATGCCCTCCAACGGCTGCGCCTCGCCGCGAGCGTTCCGGAGGGGCTCCCGGATCGCCCCAAACGGCCGCCGGAGGCCCGAGGATTGCAGGCGCTCTCGTGAGGAGGAGGAGGAGGAGGAGGAGGAGGAGGAGGAGGAGGAGGAGGAGGAGGAGGAGGAGGAGGAGGAGGAGGAGGAGGCGGAGGAGGAGGAGGAGGAGGAGGAGGAGGAGGAGGAGGAGGAGGAGGAGGAGGAGGATGAGGAGGAGGAGCAACTAGTTCTCGGCGGCGTCCCAGCCTCGGGATGCCCTCCAGCGGCTGCGCCTCGCCGCGAGCGGCTTCCGATGGGGGCGCTGCCGGAGCGTCCCGGGCGGCCGCCCGAGGCCCGAGGCGCGGCCCCCGAACGCCACCAGGGCGCCAGCTCGGGGGGGGGGAACAGCGGCCTGGAGTCGGCGATGCGTGGCCGGCAGATGGGCAACAGGCCCGAGGCCGCGCGTGCCTGGAAGGGTGGGCTGTCGGGCCCCCCTCGGCACCAAGTGAGCGATTGGGGGGTCGATGCTCCCCCCCCGAACCCGTTTCCCCCTGGTGCTGCCCCCGGAGACCACCACGCGGAGGATCTGTCTCTGGGGGCCTCGGCAGGCAACGGATATGGATATATCCCCCCCCCCTTGGGGTCGAAGTGTATCCGTATCCACCGCCCCCTAAGGTTCCAGGGCATCGGTTCCGCAGGCGGTGGATATTGACAAGTCCCCACCTCGCAATGGTGCATGCAGAGGAGGAGGATCGAACTAGGTCTGCGACCTTCACGCATCGCGCCCCGGCGGTGCGCAATTTGGTTCGCGGCCGGGCGGGCGATCCCACAACAACTGGCATGAAAGAAACATATCCTGAGGGAAACGGGTCCGGAAACCCAGGGACTTTCTCCCATGGCCAGCATTTCTGAAATCGCATAAGATTGCGGACTCGCCGCCCACGAATGCGCACAGGCCAGTCAGCAACCAATTGGTCAGCTGAAGGGAAAACATTGGGAAACCCAGGACTGAGTGACTGGTTTGTGCTGACTGGTTGGCGCGTCTATGATCCTCTCTCCACCTGTTCCACCCCTGGCACTCTCCCTGGAAATCCAGCGAAGAAGAAATGATGCAATGGAGCTGGTGCAATAGATTTGTGGGGTTACAAAATATTTGGGGTGTGCACACTACATTTTGGTGCACAAGTGTATTGTTGGACTTTCGTGTGCAACGCACTAGTTGCAATGCGATGCGATTTTATAATCTGGCGCAACGCATGTGCAATACAATTGCCCCATTGCCCCGAATCTATTGCACCGCCCCTCTTCAAGTGGGCCCCATAGTGGTTCACGAGGATTCGCGCGCCGCGTTGCGCGGGTCGCCTTCGCGACCTCGCGAAGGCCCTGGGGTAAAAAGGAGGCTCGCTCTGGCCCCGCCCGCGAGGCCCTCGACGCGGATCGCCGCTCGCGCCCGCCGCCAATGGCTCCCGGCGGCCCGAAGAGGCAGGAGGAGGGAGGGGGGAACAATGAGGGGGGAGGGGGGAGGGGGGGAAAAAAGAGGAGGGCGGAGGGCGAGGAGGACAAAAGGAGGAGGAGGAGGAGGAGGAGGAGGAGGAAGAGGGGGAGGACGACGACGAGGAGTAGGAAAAGGAAATGTGATGAGATGAGATGAAATGAGACCAGCCGCAAAACGAATTGCATACAAACGCAAGACTCATGCGACCACCTTTCGGATGATAGAGGAGGTGCGTGGTGGTGGGGAAAAAACCAGCAATTGGCAAATGCGATGTGTGATGATGACGATGCTGGTGACGCGCCCTCGACTTAGCGACTACGATGACGATGTTGCGCTGCGATGTAATGCCGTTCTTGTCTCCGTTTTCGACTTCGCCCGATTGATTCCACTGCCGACCCCACTTGATCGACCACACTTGGTGAATCTCACTCGCTGTCGGTTCCACGATCGATCACAACATCGATATACCGATCGAAATTTCAATCGATCGCACGATCGATATCACTATCGATCTCGCAACCAATGTCACAATCAACCTCGCGGTCGAACTCGCCTTGGATCCCAGTAGCCATCCCATTCTAGCGATGTCATTATCGATTTCACAATCGGCATCACTATCGATACCAAGGCGGGCCACCCCTGGCCGCCGCCCGCCCACCGCCGACAAAACACCGACGGGGCACCAACTGGACACCGCCGGGACACCGCAGGACACCACGGCGGGACACCCCGGGCCAACGCGCGCCTGCTGGGGGAGGAGGGGCGGCCCACTGCATCCGAATCGCCCTAGCGACTGCGGGGTCGTTCCTCTCGCGCGCCCGCGCAACTTCGCCTCGCCCGCGCGCGGCTCGAACACGAAACCGAAACCGGTTTCCAGGTGGGGGGCTCTCCGTTCCACTGTGGTCTTACCCCCAACCTCCGCCCTGTCCCCAGATCTCCACTGCGAACACGAGCACATGGTAACGCACCACGAATGGAAGACGAGGAACAACCTTCCCGCACTGAACACGACGAGGGGCGCGACAATCAACACGCAACCACAACTTGTTCAGCAATCGCTGCTTCTTGCGCTGCTCGTAAGTCGGTGGAGTTGTGCCAAGGAGTGGCATTTGGCAGCAACCGCGCTTGGGGCACGCGAGGTCGCGGTCGTGGAAGCCGCCAACCCCGTAGCAGCTCCTCTTCCTCCTCCTCCCCGTAGCAGCTCCAAGGTGGCCGCGCTGCACGCCCTGCAGCACCCCCGGCGCCGCCGGCGCCTTCTCCTTGCGCTCGGCGTCGGCACGCTCCGCAGCATGCGCGGCGCTGGCCGTCCGAGTTGGCCGGCGGGCACGGCACCGCTGGGGCTCCAGATCCATCACGGCCAAGAGGGAGCGGGACGAGGCGCGGGAGAGGGGAGGGACGGCCGCGGGGGCCGCGGGCGGCGCGCGAGCGCCGATGGCGCGGGCTCGGCAGCCCAGGATCGGGCCGAGCTGTCGGCTGGGAGAGGAGGAGGCGGAGGGAGGGAGGGAGGGAGGAGGAGGAGGAGGAGCCGCAGGAGTGGCAGGAGGGGGGGCCCAGCGCCGATCCGAGACACCCGCGCGGGCCTCCGAAAGGCTGTGTTTGTGCCGCACTCTCTTCCTCGACGGATGCAACCCTGGGCGGCAAGACCGGGCGGCCACATGCGAGCCCTGCCCCCGCAGGCTGGACCTCTGAAGCGTCGGCAGGCGCTCAGCCCTCTCGAGGATGTCTGCAGCCAAGCGATACCCCAGCAGGGGTGCCCGGTACCCCAGCGTCGATTTGACCTGCAGGGGTATGGCTCGCAAACCATTGTACAAATACTGGCAGATTTGCACGCCCGAAATGGGTGCGGAAAAAATGGTTACGATGCCCAGCATCAAATGTTGTCCAACACCGACGACGGCCGCTGTTGGTATGGAACCGCAAAAGAATGTGCGCGCCGAAGTACGTCCATGGATGCCCTCGAGCAGGCCATGCAATGCAAGGGACAAATGATGGGATACTCTTTCATTACGTTGTCTTGACTGCCACCCTCCACCAAACATCCTATTCGAGCTGTCCTGCTCCAACTTCTCCCCCCTCGCACTCCTCCGTTTCCTCCGTTTCCTCTTCTTCTCCTCCTTATTCCCCGCTCTTCCCCTGGAGCCACACACAAGCTGAATCTTGGTAGTCTCGAACTCACGCGGGGGTCTTCTCGGGCCCTCCCAACTTGGGCAGGTGTCGGGGAGACGTAAGACCCGGGTACGGGGGACTCGGAAATCCCCGACGAGGTCGTCAAAAAAATGACGAGGCCGAGCCTGCATTTTGACGAGGCCTCCCGCTGCAGACATCCCACAAAACTCCTCCTCGTCAAAATCCGAGTCGCGGTCGTCAAAAAACGATGGCGAACCCGAGTCCTGGCAAACCCGGGTCTTACGCTCCCCCGAAGGTGGCCCCCCCGTCTCAAACGGGTGACGCCCGCGGCGACACCGACAGCGAGCCCGGCTCAAAACGAACAAGAGCTGCTGCCGGTCTTGGTGCCCACTCTTACCGTGCCCAGTTCGGTCGCCCCGGGCCGAGGGCCGCACCCCGCCCCAGAAAAGGGTGAGGGGCAACGATGAGGGGGGACCGGCATGGGGGGGAAACAGCGACCCGGAACCGGCGCTACATCGCGGACAGATCGGCGATGGGCCCCCGATCGTGAATCCGCACGTTCCTGGGCGAGGTGGGGCTATCAGACCCCTGCTGGCGATCAGTGGGCGATGGGGGGTCGATGTATCCCCCCCCCTTATGCCTAATCCCCCCCCCTATCGTTGGGTCGGGCGTGTCCTCCTACAGGCGGATTGTGGGCGACGGTTGCAAAATAGGCAACACAGCTTCAAGAGAGGCCAACAACTGGTCCCAGAATCGTCGCCAGACTATGTTGTGACTATTTTGGAATCTTCCACCTGTAGAGGGACGTGCCCGACTTGACCCCATCCTTGTCGGGCGTTGGCAGAACTGGGCTTAGTGGGACCTGGTTTAGTGATGTGTACTGGGGGACGCCCCCCCCGCCCCGTTCCACTAACTGGAGCTGCCGCCACCCGAAACACACCAGCTATGGCAAACCTGGTTTAGTGCCTCTGGCCAATTCAGAAGCTCCGGGGCCCTGCCACTAACCGGGCCCCCTTACCTGGGGTCCTGGCCATACCCTAAAACAAGGCTGGGATCGGGATAAATCGCTCCAGAGCGTTCCGGAGCGCTCTCAGAGCGTTCCGGAACGCTCTGGAGCGGCCGCGGCGCCCAATACATCCTCCAAACCCGCCGATTCTCAGAGATTTCGAGTTATCCCGATCCGATTTTGTCCCGATCCTCGCGTCGTTTTATACCCGACTTCCTCCTGGACAGGGACGTGCCCGACTTGACCCCATCCGTGCCCCAACCGAAGCCAGCCCCGCCGGCCCGAGGGGCCGCCGGCGCGCGGAGCCGCGGCCCTCGCCGCGCCCCCCGCGGGCGGCCCTCGGGCAGCCCGCGCGCCCTGGGCGGCGCGCGCGCGCGCCTCCCGGGTCATGTCGCAGTAGAAGTCCCGGTACCTGAGGTGGGGCGCCGCCCCGGGGAGAGCTCTCTCTCTCTCTCTCGCTCAGTCTTATCTCTTTCTCTTTTTTTTTTTTTTTTTTTTTTTTTTTCTCTCTCTCTCTCTCTCTCTCCCATTGTCGTTTCTCTCTCTCTCTCTCTCTATAGATAAAAGTATATATCATTGCTGGCTCTCTCCCTCTCTCTCTCTCTCTTTGTTCTTAGTATATGATGGCTTGTTTGGTTTTCCTCCATCTCTCCTTCTCTCTCTATCTCTTTCTCTCGTTCTCTCTCTCTCTCGATGCTTGAACTGACACCCTTTGATCAAGTTTCTGCTTGCAGTTGTCCCTCCTGCCCTTTCTCTCCTCGAGCCCTCTCCTCTCAAGGGCCGGAGCTGGGTGCGCGCAGAGGCAAGGGCGCACAGCGCGCCCGAGCATCGGCGGTGACCACCGTGGCCAGACCAGGACTCTGCCGAGCCAGTTCGGCAACTGTTCACTGTTCTGCTTCAACAGCGTGCAAGACAGCAAGTATGCAGTGCGGGCGCGGCCGCAAGAAAAACCATCGCAGGAGATCCAGGCCCGAAAACTCACGCGCGGGGTGCATCCGAGGAGAGGCCCAGAGCACCCTGCACGCAGCAGCTCCTTCAACGGCTCCGGGAAGTCACCGCGCAGCGCGCGGAGCGAAGAAACCCAGGATACCCTCACGAAAATATGTGGTTTCTTGATGCGCGCCCCCACTGTACGCTGAAGCTGAAGATGCCAGTAATCTTCCCCGCGCTGGAGCTGCGCGACAAGCTGGCGAGCTTCGTGGGCACGTTCACGGAGCACGACGTCGTTATCAGCATCGTTGGACCTGGCCTTTGCGTGGACGCTCCAGGGGCGTCGCGCGAACAAGGTCAAGGCAACCAGCGTGAAGGAGACGGCGGGACATCAGCAGCGTGCAAGGTGTCAGCACCGAGCGCAGCAGCAGGCGAGGAGGGACAAGGCCATGACGGCTTTGCGTCTGCCTGCAAACAGACACGCAGAGGGCAACATCGCCGCTAATGCCCTCGAGGAGATCGACGGGCTGGCAAGTCACCGACTCAGGCGTCACGAGAACGGTGGTGGCCAAAATGGCAGCCTGCATGGTCTGGTTGGGGAACGAAAGTAGGGGAACGAACAATGACAGAAGCATAAAAACTCGGAGGTCCGCGCGGATTTCTCGGATCCGCGCTGGGCCCCCCTCCCTGGCGCGCTGAGCGCGGCAGGGGCGGCGCCGGAGGCGCCGCCAGGGGGCCCCAGCGCCGATCCGAGGAAGCCGCACGGACCTCCGAGTTGTTATGTTTGTGTCATTCTTCGTTGCCCTGGACAACAGAGCTTCCCTGGAGGGAGCATTCGACAAAACCGAGCTGGTGGCAGACGCCGTCGGGTGCGAAGACTGCGACACCGCTGGACCACTGCTGCGAGGCGGATGCCGAGATCACCAGCGGTGCTGGCCAGGCTCACACCGGGCTTCGAAGACGACGAGCTGGACATCAAGGCCAAGACCAGGAGGAGGACGAGGAGGAGGGCTCACAAGTAGAGGAGGAGGATGAGGAGAGGAGGAGGATGAGGAGGAGGATGAGGAGGAGGATGAGGAGGAGGATGAGGAGGATTATGAGGAGGACCAAAACCAGGAGGAGGAGGAGGATGAGGAGGAGGACCAAGACCAGGAGGAGGATGAGGAGGATGAGGAGGAGGATGAGGAGAGCTGGATGGACTGGTACTCAGAAAAGAGCGGCCTCGTGTGCCGTCTACGCCGGGGAGGGGGGTTCGCAGACGTCGACCCGGGCACACATCATGGTACAACATTTGTTGTGCGTTTCTGTCTGCGGCGCTTGTAGGTTGGAGATCCCCGGCGCATGCCGAGACTGGCCATCGCTCGGACGTCCATTCCCTGTGCTTTGTTCGGTTTCGCGCGTGGCTTTCGCCAAATGATCAAGGATGCTCCTCGATGGTCCTCGCCGAAGGAACAATGCACACGTCCGAGCGATGCCAAGGACTGAGGGCGTCAGGCTGTCTATGCTGTAACCTCTTGCAGGACGTGCGGCTGCTTGCACCACTATCTGGTTCGTCCGAGTCACCCCCATTCTGTCCTCTCGAACCTTTCCCCATACCTTAGGATGCAAGTATTGTTATTCCTGGGACGCCTCCGCCTCGTCGTGTACTGACTCCCACCAACTTCTCCCTCTCATCCTTCTCACTTCACTCATCCTCAGACTCACTGACTCCCCTGGCGGCTCCAGCTTCTCTCGCTTCGTAGCCCCATGGCCACAAGGAGGGACCGCCAATATGTGTGACGATTCTCATTCGCGCCAACCCAAGGAGGATCCGCCAAAGGGTGTTGCACTTGCCCGTTCGCACAAAGACTGTTGGGACGCCTCGAGCGGTTCGTTGGTTTTGGCACCCCGGTCTCCTCTCCGTTCAGAGCCTAATGACCACCGCTCTGAAGGGTGCATCGAGTCTGTGCGCTCCAACGGGAAGCCGCCAGGGGGCGCTACGCTTGCTAGTTCGCGCCCAAAGTCGTGCGACCTCTCAGACTAAACGCTGGTTTGGACACCCTCCACCCCTACCCTTTCAGATCCTCCAATGTCGCGACGCAACATGCATATCGTTTGGGCATTTCGCGGGGGAGCCGACAAAAACCGCCCAATTGCCTCAACCTCACATACTCCCACCCAGACGCTCACAAACGGAAGTGCCAATGATTGAGATGCCCATATGAGGATTTCCGCGTTGTGCATGTGGTGCGTTCGTCCGTGATTGAGTCAGATGGCGAGCGAGCAAGTGAACGAGGTAAAAGTGCCCGAGAAAGCAAGGCGAAACTTGCACAACCTGTAAGTTCCAGCTGCCGTTCTACTTTTTGTGCTCGAGATGGTGAACCCCTCCTCCCCCGCCCCCCGCATGGGGAATTCTAGACCAATTGGGCCGTCGAGCGACGCGCGAACTCAGAGCGGGAGCTGCTCGGCGGTCAGCCAACGACAACGCCGCGACATTCTATGCGAACGGCGCGCTGCTGCCGTGCTCATTGGCGATTGCACTTGGCGTTTCCTTGTGCTGGCGCGCGGCCCATGCCCGAAATCATGGCGGACATTCGCGCTAGGGCCAGGGCAAAAACCAATGGGCGCGTCGGCCCTTGGCGGCGCCAGCAAGAACCCCGCGCGGCGCCCGGGGCCCGCCCCGCACGGGCGCGCGTCGAAAAGTTTTGATCCACCCCAAAAACAAAGTTTAGGCACTGGGCGAGCAAAGCCTATATAAACTCCATATAAAATCAATCTACACTTTTCTGGAGCAGGAAGTCTCGCGCGGGAGAACACCGACAAGTTCATATAAGCAGAAAGTCGAGTTTACATAACCGCCCAAATAATTTTATATTGGACCAGTTGCCTTCAGAGCAACGCCGCCGATTTCAACTTTTCCGCCGGCGGGGTCATGGGGGGCGACGGAGGCGGGCGCGGGGGCCCTCGGCTGGGACTGCGGCGCTGCCGCGCGAGGGACAGCGCCGCTGTCGCCTCAAACTGCGAGCCGCGACCGTGGCGCGGCCGCGTCGAGCGGGCCCAGGGCGTCGCCGCGCGCGCGGGGCCCCCCTGAGGCAGCTGGCAATGGTCTCGCCGACAGGGAGCCTGCACTTTCGCTCATTCGCCGTAAATGCAAAACGATGACATGTAAAATCCATACTTGTGGGGGCCGGGGTCGGTTTCCCACTGTTCACTTCCAGCCTGGTCGCGGGGTGACCTCGGTCCCGGCCGAATAGGTTTGGCGGGCTGGCAATGCTCGCCCTCTATCCCGCGCGTCGATCTGTCCGCAATGAGCTCGCCAGGCCGAGCCTGCTAGCCACGTGGCTTTGCGCGTGAACGAATTGCCGCAGCGGTGCGTGACGAACGCCGCGGGCTGGAAAAAACATGGGGGACATCGTCTCGGCTCCGCTCTCCAAGGGGGTTCGGCGGAGGCGCGACTTCACGCGCGCGAGGAGCTGGGCGGTGCGCTTCCGCTCCCGCTATCTGCGTGCGACCGCGGCGTTCTCGCTCTCTTCGGGCGGCGCCGCGTCGGTCTCGCGCCAGTCGTCGGTCTGGCGACGCGCGCCGGCGAGCATCTTCTCGAGCGCGCTGTCCATCGTCGGATTTACCTTCGTCATGTGCGAATTGATCTGGTACCCTGTACTGTGCGCGTCCAAGAACATCGCCACGGTGCGCATTCTCCCAGCTTCGTAGAACTTGTCGCCCTGGTCTTCGCCCTCGCATCCGACGTCGCTTCCCTCGGCGTCCTGCGCCGCGGTCGCGGCGCCCCTAGTTATGTCTGTGTCTGAGATTGATCTGGGCGTGGGTTCGGCAATGGCGACTACAGGCGGCCCACGGCCAGATCGGGCGAAGATCCTCAAACTCAAAAACAATTTCGAACAAAACTTCAACACACTTCAAGCATTCTCGGAACCAAAACCTGCGAAGATCTCAAAACCTAAACAAACTTCAGACACTTTCGAAACCGACAGCTGCGACAATCTCAGACTCTAAAAAGACTTCAAGCATCTCAAAAATACGAATACCTCGAAACCAAAAACAACACATAAAACAAACTATCAGCCGAAGCCTGGGGACATACATCTCAAACAACCCAAACAAAAAAACGGAACTCTAAACCAAACTCAAAATCTCTGAAACAACTCTAATACATCATTTTTGTCAAGAAGCATCCACAGGCCTAAAACTCTCTAGAAATAATTAGAAGCACTCAAAAACTCTGAGCGCCTGAAAGCTCCAAACAAATAAAACCACTCTAAAACAACTCGAACAACTCTTGGAACACTCTAAACAACTGTAAGCAAATTTCTGACCACCTGGCGAACTCAAAAAAAATCTGGACAACACTCAACAAAAACTCTAAATGCACACGCTGCCTTGAAAATTGAGATTATCGCAGGTTGTGGTTTTAAGTTATTTTTGTAGTTTTCACAGAGTTTGAGATTTTCGCAGGTTTTGGCTTCGAGATGTTTTGCATACTATTGAATACACCAAGTTAAGTTTTTGATTGTTTCGCAGGATTTGGCTTCGAGTTTTTGAGAAGTTTTTCGGGCTTGAGATTTCCGCAGGTTTTGGCTTGGAGTGTTTTTTGATTTTCGGGGGGGCGTTGAGTTTCCTGCTGAAGATTGTCCTAATATTTTCTCGATGGACCTCCTGTAGTATAATTGCCAAAGCTGAATCTGGGCCCGATGGGCAGCCACTCTCTTCTGGCGGCAGCACCCCACATTTTTTCATATATATATATATATAGATATAAAATTGTTCGTGCCAGTCGCTGAGCGCCACGACGACATGACGACGATGCTCTGTGGTCCCCAGGTGTCGCATCCAGCCCGTCCTCCTGTTTGTCGATGCTGAAATCACGGAATTGCTGCGGGTAGGCGCCGTGGGCGTAGTCTGGCGCAGGCTCGGAAGTGTCCGCTTGAGGTTTTCATCCGGACGGGTCCAACCAGAGACTGGGCGGCAGTGCGCGTCTCAGGTCTTGCATGTCCAACTTCGAGCGGATGGCAACCAGGCCCGTGTAGTTCGTGGCACAGTGTTTCTGGAAGGTGATGATCCTTTCAGCCATGCCGTACTTCGTCTCGCGGAAGATGCCGATGCATCCGCGCAGAGCCTTGCTGCGCCGCCGGATGCGCATTTCCCGGGCTCCAGGCCGCACAGATTCACCACGTGGAAGGAGTCGTGGCGGCAAATATGCGAGAAGCCCTTGGAATGGTAGTTGAAGCAACACGGGCTGCAAACGTGCACGGCGCAGCCGGTCGCGAGATCCTTGGCGTCTTTGGCCAACTCCATGATGAAGTCGTCGGACCGCAAGGCCTGTCGGAACTCGTCCATGGTGCTCTGCGCGGTGCGCCCGAGGCGAAAGGATGGCAGCTTACCAGCAGCAGAATCGCTCAATGGCGTAGAGGAACCGACGATGTAATCCTCCTCCTCCTCCTCGCCCCTCCTCCTCCTTCTCCTCCTCCTCGTCCTCCCGCTCCGCGTCCTCGGGTTCGGCAAGGCATAATGGGGGCCAGCGTGTGAAGAAACGACTGGGTGAGGGTGGGGAGGATGGGCGGCGCGGTCGAGCGGGGACGTGGCCGTACGGTTTGGATCGTCCGCCGAATCTCCCAATTCGGGATCTACAAATTTGACAGCAAAAGAAAAGCCCGAGCTCATTGCAACTCCATGCCACTTCTCCATCCGCCTCAGCGGCTGCAGACTGGGAAGCAACATAATCACCAAAATCAACAACACAACACGAATTCGGAATAACTATCCTGATCCGAGACACCTGCCAACAACTCACCCGAACACGTGTTTTGTCAATGTTCAGTCGAATTGCAATCTATGTTGTTTTTGGCTTTCGGCCCGCAGTTCGGGGTGAGAGAGCAAAAGGTGGAATAGCATGACAAGGAGGAGGGACGACTCAATGGAGCTCAAGGAAGGCTGACCCGCCGGCCACCTGATGGACCATCACCCCCGATCCTCCCCAATCCAATTCCCACACCAGCCTCATCGAATCACCTGCTCAACCATCCTCCTGTCTATCGTCCCACCGCCTCCCCAGCCGCCCTTCTCAACGCTCAAACCAGACCTCTCATCCTAAGCCTGCTTTTCAATCGTTCTGTCCGACCAAGACAATGGTTTATCATCATGGCTCCTGTGTCTTCGTCTGCCCCCCTCGGGCGCCTCCGCCCTCCATCCGTTGCATTCCCTGTTGTTTGCTCGCTGCCTTTGCCGCCTTCCTTACTTCCCCTCCCCCCTCCCTGCCGTTCCTGTTGCTCCTCCTCGTCCTCCTCGTCCTCGTCCTCGTCCTCGTCCTTCTCCTCCTCCTCCTCCTCCTCCTCCTCCTTCGATGGGACCAATGACAAAACACTAACCCGCAATATGCCTGACTCGTGATGAAAGGCTGCGCCGCAGTGGTCGATTGCCCCTCGTCGTCGTCGTCGTCGTCGTCGTCGTCGTCGTCCTCCGTCTTCTCCTAACCAAAAAGCCAGACAAAAGGCACAAAATGCACCAAAACCCTACTCGCCTTCTCTCCCGGTATCCCACTCCGACGACATGGGCGACAAAGGCGACGGCGGAGATGACATGGGGCCACGCCGCCGCACGACGCACCAGCGGCCCCCAAGATGCACGAACAAGTCCCGTGCCCGGTCCGCGCCCCTCTCACTTGTTGGCCTATTTTTGTTCCGAAACTTTTCACATTGGGCTGGAGCGTTCGCCTCCTCCTACCCACCCTCCTCTTTAATCGTCGATAAGAGCGATCGACGATCTTCGACCGTCCTCCTCCTCCTCCTCCTCCTCGTCTTCCTCCGCGTCCTCCTCCTCCTCGTCCTCCTCGTCCTCTTTTCCTTTTCCTCCTCCTCCTCCTCCTCCCCTTACTCCTCCTGCTCCCTCTTTGATCGGAAATCGTCGATATCCTCCCCCTCCTCCTTGTCCTCCTCCTCCTCCTGGGCCTCATCCTCCTTTTCCTCCGCGTTCTCCTCCCCCCGCGCACTTGTAGCAGCAGCCGTGGTTCGTCCCTGCGCAAATGCTTGACGAGATGTTCTGCGCCTGCGGGTCCCGCGTCCGCCCCATTTCCAGTTTCCCCCCCCCTTTTGCCTCCTCAACTGGCCTGCGCTCTCCCCCGACTTCCCTCATGTCTCCCCTGCTGACTCTTCCCCCACCCCCCACCCCGCATCCCCTCTCGCCCTCCTCCGCATCCTCCCACCGTTCCCTCCCCACTCCCCTTCCCTTCCCTCTCTGTCCCCGTCCCCTTCCGCTGCCCCTTGGCAATCAGTAAGGATCTTCTCTCTTTTCAGACTTCTGCGCGAGCGGACTCCCTATCATCCCGCCTGCGGTCTCTCGCGCACAGGGTTTCAGAATGTAATGTGTCGTATGGCCTGTTCCATCCAGAACGTTTTCGTATTCTTGAAGGGCTCCCAATGCGTCAGTGGCGTAATTTCGGGACCTGCGCGTTGCTACCGTCGATCAAAATTTGGCGTTTTGACCCCAGCGCGGGCCACATGTGATGATATGTGTAACTGGCGTTGCCTACGTAGGCTTGGATACGGCCCGAAACGTGATGCTCGGAAACAATATCTTAAGCATGCGCGACTAGGCAACCGTATTAAATTAAAACTGGACGGCGCTTTCTGCGATACCTTTCCCCACCAGGCTGATCACAAGCACTCTAGAACGCCTCTGCGGTGCATATGCGGCTGATGATTCTTCAGAATGTATGAGTAGGCTAGGAGCTTGAATACTGGGTGTCGTTGAATACTGGGTGCTCGCTCCACCGACGACACATTCTACACTGTGCGATTGGGGGTGCGAAATTCGCCGGCCCAACGGGCCAGAGGCGTGCTAAGGTCTCCGGTAACTACTTAACAATATTTCTAGTTCGCGCGCGCGGGGCGGCCCCTGGGGGTCCCCGGGCGAAAAGTACCCCGGCCGATCCCCGGCCGGGTCCCCGGCGATCCCCAGGGGATAGGCTATTTTTCGCCACCCCTCACGAGGATCCTGGCCTCCGAGGGGGTGGCTGCAATCGACTACCCCTCCTCCCGCCCCAAGGGGCCCCCAAGAGCCCGCTAAGAGGACCCAGGGGAGCCTAAGACGCCGCCGAAGAGCCCCAAGACGCTCCCGAAAAACCCTCAAGAGGCCCCCAAGACGGCCCCCCAAAGCCCCAAATAGCGTTCCAGGGCCGGCGAAATGAGCAAAGCGATTCAATAAACCATGTTGTTCATGCGAGGCGCATGCGACAAAAAAGGCTTTCGCTGTCAAGGGGCAGCGGGCTCGTTCACGTCCCGCCAAAATGAACGTCTTATCTGCAATCGGCTGCTGTTTGGCATCGCTACCGCAACCATTTCGGAGCAAGCATGCTTTGCCTTGCATGTAGCAGGTGGGTGGCGCGACCGATTTGGGCGGCAATCCCCTCGACATCCTACGCTATCCGCCGCGACGATGAAAAATCTTGCGTTGCTTTTGTTTGCCCGCGCGGGTCGGAATATTCACAGGAGGAGGACAAGGGGAAGGAAGAGGAAATGCATGAGGCTGTGGAAGGGAATTGAAAGGGTGATTTGTTTTTTGAACTCACGCCGGCTATCAAGGAATGGGCGTCGGCATCGCTTCTAGATTCTGGTATCGCCTCGGCGGGGTGTTCATTTGCTGCCTCGCCTGAGTGGTGTGTCAGATTGTGTGATGAATTCAACCAAGTGGGTCGCGCTTTGCGGTGCGCGCGCGAACCTCGCCGAACTGCAAAACCAACGGCTACTGCTGACCGTTATCGGCGACGAGGAATGGCCGCGTGTTTTCGAGCGGTACCTGCCAGTGATTCTGGACCTCTTGCGGTCCGAACGAGGCTCGTTGTGCAGACGTCCAAGATTTTGGACCTGGGGCCCTTCACTTCCCGCTCTGACCGCTTGAGCCAGACAGCCCGCGGCCTTTCTTATTATAGTTGCTGTCGTGCTTCCCATGAGGCAGCGCCGGCGCTCTCCTCCCGGCGCTGGCCCATCCCTCGGATGCCTGCCAGCCTGGCCACCTGCGGATGAGTTCGCGGTCTAGCTGCGATGTGTACGGCCACTCGCTCGCTCGGTGTTGCATCGAATTGAGCGGGGACGGGGGCGGCTTTGGAGTTCGTGCGCGGAGCCTCGCTGACGCTGCTCAGTGCCGCGCGCTAGTCGCCGCCCGTGTGCCCAGGCTTCGACGGCGGATTCATGCTCTGCGCGGGCGCGACCCCCATCGAGGCTGAGCCGTGGCAGCGGAGTCTTCGATGTGAATGTTGCGCCGCCCCTATCGCTGATGGATCTGTTCGATCGAGGTCTCGCAGAGCTTGCGGTGATGGCTTTCGCTCGTTCTCCTTCCTTATCCGTCCTTTCTTCTCCAACTCTGCGTCCTCCCGCTCATCTCGACGTCTGCCTCCGCCTCCGGCCGCTGCCCGCTCCGCGACGACCTCGCCCGCGCCCTCGCCGCGCCCCCCGGCGCTCCAGGTGCTGCCTCGGCTGTTCCTGAAACTCGACTCGAGGTGGGGCCGCAGCCTCGCGGGGGCAGCGCAGATTTTTTCCTGTGCCCGGACAGAACACACGGGTGACACAACCCGAAGGGAGGTGCCCAAGGTGCCTGCGTGAATTCACATGCCATCGGACCTCGCAACATGAACGGCGGCACAGACCCGCCCCACGCGTCACATCTGCGCCGCCGTTGCGAGGCGCCTCGAGATGCCGCCCCGAGGCGCGGCCGCCGGCGCCGCCCCCACTTGGCCGCCGGCCTCGAGCAGCGGAGGCCCCGCTGCCCAAGGACTCCGAGTTCCCGCGCCCGCCGCGTCGGGGCCCCTTCGAGTAAGTAACCCCATCGGGCCTCTCAGGGGTGGCGCGGCGGGCCCGCGCCTACTGTGGCTGGCCAACCATAGGGCAAGAGTCTCTCCCGCGGCCCCGTCGAGCTGCGGCGGCGATCGGGCTGCCGCCCCGGTGCTTATCCTGGGGGGCCGCGAGGGCGCCCGGCGGGGCAGCGCAGAGGGGGCAGCCGCGGGGGGATGTCGACGGCGACGGCCGATTTCCATTGGATGGAGCATGTCCCGCCGCACCGCCGCGCCCCGGCCCCTCGACCCCGCGTAGAGACTTTCGCCCAGAAATCCGACTTTGGGCTGGGCGGCGGCGCGTGTGCGGGGGGGAGAGAAGGGGGGGGCGGCGTCTGGGCAGCGCTCCCAATAGCTCCCAAATGTCATGGGTCCGCATGCCGATGCAAGTGCCATTTCCGCGCGAAAAAGAAGGGGGGGGGGGCGGGCGCCCGGCTAGGTCGCGGCGATTCCGCCGCAGTGCAAGCCGACGTCGGGGGAACAGAAAAAAGCAGCCGAAGGGCTGCGCACAACTCGCCGTGCGCGCGCACTCCATTGGCGCTGCAGACAGCACCGCGCCTCGCCAGAGCAAATTGCACACCTGCCCTGTCAAGTCGACGCGCGCCCCGAACCTCCAAATTTTGAAACGACCGTCGAGGGCGACCTGGCCCTCGCGGGCGCGGGCGCGCGCGCTGCAGATTTGGTCGATTTCCAGACGGATGGAAATGTTAGTGACGGGGCGCCCCCTCGCGCAGATGCCTATCCCCAGAAGCGGCCCCCCCGCGGCAGGGGCCCCGCGTGGAAGTCTGCGTGGGCGGGGGGGCCTAGGACTCCTATGCCGACGTGGGCGTCTTCTCTGCGGGATAGGGGTGCGCCGAACGAGAAAGACTGATCGCGGCGTGGAAGCGGGGGCGGGGCGGGGGCGGGGGGCGGCGAAGGGGGAGGAGGTTCGCGCGGCACGGTGGGCAGCGTTCAAAGGGATCAGCGAGCGAACGCATATATATATATATATATATATATATGGAAGTAAGATATCGAGAGTGAGACAGAGGGGGGTGGTGCCGTTGAGCGTCGCAAGGTGGTCACCGATAGCAGCTGCGCAAGACGCGACGCATGCGTCCACGCTCCAGGCGGCAGGCCATGTCTTGCGCATGCGAAAACCCTCGTGGCCTCTGTCATCCTGAATGTGATCATTACTAGATTCAAACCAAGTGTGCCCCTGATGCACGCGGGGCAACTGACGCCCAGTGCGGGCTCGGATGCGTCGATGCATGGGGTGGCAGGGCTGCCCTGGGACTTGCGGCCCTTCTGTGGGCTCACGGAGCTTTTGCAATTTTGGCGCGAGCTCGCCCGCCTGGTCTTTAACGCGCGCGGGTGAATTGCTCGGATTCGAGTCGGCCGCGCGCCGCGCGTGCAGATAACTTCCAGAGCGTGCGTCGGGCAAGTGGGGCAGCGCCTCGGTGGCGCGCGATTTTTGCCGCATCGCCCAGATCAGGCGATCGCGGCATTGCGCGGCGCGCTGGAATATCCGGCGAAGAAAAAAAACGATGATGCGGGCGGCGCTGGCAGAGACCGCGCTCTTTCTCTTCCCCCCGCCCGCTGCCCCCCGCCCTCCAGCGCTGTCTTTTTGCATGGCCCTCGGATTCTTTCGGGAGTGGCGGTGGGATCTGTCGCCAGGGCAGCGTTTCTCATTCGCGCTGCGGACCGAGGAACATAATTCGCGTCGACAGCGACTGGGGGCGCGGGAAATGGGCGCGCGCGAGACCATCGGCGATTGCCTCGCCCGGTTTGCAATGGAAGCCTTTGAACTGACGCTCTGGCCCCTGGCCCGCCTGCGTATGTTCTCGCAGTCGCGCATGACCAACGAACGGGCGCACTGGGGTGGGCGTCGCATTGCGCAGATAGTCGGCGGCAAAGGGCGGCGCCGCATTGCCGGGGTTCTGGGGCCCAAAAATGCTGACAGACCTTCTGGGCGCAGTCGGTGACCTCCCGGCGGGGTCGGCGTCTGGTTAGCTCGGCAGCCATGGCGCGCGGGCAGAGGCAAACCGAATTTAAAATGCCAATCGTGCAAAATCTGAATAACTGTCTGGCAGCCCGGACACTCGCCTCGGGCTTTTCGCTGGCCCGGGGTGGGCAATTCTGGAAGCCGCGGCGAAGCGTGCCGGGCCCCCCTCCAGCGCGCGCGAACACATGCAATGCTGGTGTTCTACAGCTCCACTGTGGCCTTCAAGCGGGCTGCTCA